TCTGATCTAAAAATATCATTTAAACGATATTAATTCAGCGCTATGAGTTATGCGAAATGTTTATTTAAAAGAATTATGACTTCTCATGGTGAAAGTAGAAATTCTATGGAAGTCACAAGGTCTATATGTGTCAGATGTTGCTCAAAATAAGAAGATAAAACATATCACCGTTCACGGTATAACTGAAACCCATGTATTGCATGTTGTGCAGAAAAAGTTTCGATTCGAGTAATATGCTTTTATATTTTGATCATGAGCGAAAAGTAAACAATCTGTTCAGATCTATCATTACTGTTCCTTGAATATATTTGCGTGTACGCTACTAGAATTCTTTGCATTCATTGATATGCGCATTATTTATGATCTTAGTAAATGTGTGATCATTATCAATTCTGAATTCTATGTAATAATAATCGTTATACTCTTTTATTACAGAATATGAACTCCGTTCAAACACAGTACAATTTAGTTAGTACTGAATGAAATGTCCTCTTCATCCTTGAAATGTTCAATAAACCTGTACATATGAAGAATATCTAGTTTCAGTTCAGATTATTACAGAATTGTCGTCTTATGAGAAAATGATAAGGATTAAATAAGTGAAGCTCACTATTCCAATAAACAGTATTTTCATGTATAAGAATGAATGAACTAACAGTCAAATGAATTCTTATCCAGCCTAAGTGAATAAGCTGCAAAATTACCTAAAACTACTACTACTACTACTACTACTACTACTTCTACTAAACAACAACAACATTAACCATTAATGATAATAACATAACAGTCTAGATACTAGTGGTACAATATTACAATTCACTTTCATAGTATCAAGAATTACTATTTTACAAATGTAATCAAAACATAGATAGTGTTGGCCTTTTCCAATGAAATGATCATTGATTTACGAAAATATGGACTGTTATTCATTCCACTGATTGAAATCATGAGTCAATTGAAGCTAGATCACCATGGGAAACCTGCAAGCACTGGACGGCCGTTTCACCCTAGTATGAGACTCCTCAACAGTGCGCATCTACGATCTCGACCCTCGCGAGATTCGAACCTAGGACCTATCAGTCTCGCTCTCACAAAACCCCTTCTGATAATAATCATTTGCTCACCAGTGTTCGGATCTCGCGGAGTGCGGGACCGTGGATGCGCACTGCCACTGAGGAGTCCTATACTAGGAAGAAGCGGCCGTCCAATGCTTTTAGGTTTCCAATGCTGATCTAGCTTCAATGGACTGATGATTTTAACCAGTGAAAGAATTCATCCTATTGAAATAAAATTCAAATAGAAAAATGTGAATTTAGTTATGTAATTTAGGCAATGTGTGCACTTTGATTTTATCCAATCAAATCAAAACTATGCACCGTTGACAACCTACTCACAGTTGATTACAAGTAACACAATGTTTGTTCATGAAAATATGAGCACTAATTACTTAGTTTAAAATATTTTTACTCATATCCAAAATAGTTTTCATCAATAGGGGAGGGGTCAGAAATTTCAACCAACTCTGGATCAATATCAGGCTCTATTACCTTAGCAAGTGTAAGAATATTGCTTAACAATGAGTTCATCTCCTATGACGATTGGTTAATAATTATGAAATGATTTTATCAAATTTGATCATCCTAATGGTCAATTTGAATCATCCAATCTGAAAGTAACATAAAAACACTTAACAAAATTCTATATAAAACTCAACACGTTCTACCAACGTCTAAAACAAGAAAATGATGTGAGTATTGACTGTTTAATTCAGGCAAATGAGTGTATTATATCAATTTCAATTTGATCTAATGAGATAACATTGTTCTATTCATCTGAATCATTTCAGATATACATTTTCATTTGGTCAGTTGGTAGCGATCTATTCGATCGTTGTCTTTACAACATCGGAATTTTTTGACTGTCATGAATTTTGTGAAAAATCTGAAATTCCTAATGATGGAAAAGTAATTTTCCAAAGTGATACATATAAATATGTAAGTCATCAGTCAAGTTCCATTACAAATATTCAGTCTCATTTTTATAACTATTCCCAGTTAATTCGCTTTAACCAGCCCTCTCCAATTGATAGTGAAAATTTTGAGAAAACGGGTAATTATTGGGTGAGTTAACTACATTTTGCAACGGAGATGCTAATCCATATGTTTGCATATTTCTAGGATATAGATATGAAATTCCCCTTTACATTATACGGTTCTGATATCAACAAATTCACTATAGATAAGAAAGGTAAGAGAATTATTTTCCTCGAATTAAAATTTTCACTAAGTTTTGTTTACTCACATTTCAATTCCATGAATCAAAGTCGCTTTCATTACTTCAATAGATCAGTTTTAGGCATTTTTTCAGATTCAAAACATTTACTGATGTCTTTCCTTGTTCAAGTTGTAAATCGTTTGATGCGTTGCAGTAAACTAATGACACTTCATGCAATTCATTCTAGTCTCAAGTTAATTTCAAAGTCTTTCATTCATTCACTGTAGATTATCAATCTAATTGCATGTTTTCATTTGATAAACACAGGGAGAATTTTTTTAGATCGAGATGGAGCTTACGGATCAGTTAACAACTATGTCTCATTGAAATTTCAGTGTGAAACTGAGATTTCAGATCAGAGTGAGTTCTTCTATTATTCAGTGAGATTTTGTTTTATGTTTTTCATTCCTCATTTTTATTTTACATAAATAATTCGGCATTTAACTTGATTATTTTATGAGAGCTGGCCACTACATAGTGATTATTTTATTTGTGTGATTTCATGCCCTAAAATATGTTCACAATATGTATTCATAACTGTGAAGCGAAAATCTTAAATAAAACCGTGATTCACTTCAAAACAGACACAAATTGATTGAGTAGTAATAATACACCAAACGGTGTAAATGCTCAGGTGGAAATAATCTACTCTTCAATCTGTTCGAACTACCATAAAAGTGATATTTCATCAATACGACACTTCTTGTTAGATTGAACGAATCAAACTGATCACTGGTGCAACAATAAGGGATGTTGTGTGAGAAATCAGTTTGGATTATTGAAGCACATGAACTATCAATAATTTATATTTGATGATCTCCAAATCTTTCTGTCACTTACTCGGTTCTTAATAGTTCAGTTCCTCATATTCACTGTCGTTGAACCATTGGATATTAAACACATTCTTAATTATCATAATCGTTTGATCATGAAATTTGACCTCATGCACTACCTTAAACATCCAATCAACTAACAATCACGAATAATTGGCTGGTACAATATGATTGATTCGAATTAGAACACCTAGAATATCAAAATGAAGGGCATTCATTTTATTCACTTACTGAAATTAATCTAAAATGGGGCAAAATTTTTGGGCAATAATTAGTTCAGTTAAGAGAATACTGTTCAATTGGAATAACAGAATTTCACAAAATGATTATGTATGTTTATTGTCGAATAGATATTAAGGGTTGTTTAGTTAGCCAATAGCTTACAAACAAGCCCAACATTTCAGAATGCCGATCATTGAGACTCTCATTTAGTTGAATTGGTTCACTTCAATCTTGAAAAGGAACATCACAACTTGTGTTCAAACACATTTGGTTTATTGAAAGAGGTAAATATTCATTATACAGATACATGAACACAAATTTATTTTACTTTCATTATTTCAGAGGAATTTTTAGCTGTCAGAAGTTCTTGTCCTACAAATATTGATAATAAAAGTATGTATCCATATCCATGATTGTTTGATCACATGTAAACTATTAACACTTTACATCATCATCATCATTATTGATTGTTATTACTAAACTGTTTTCTATTCAGTTTGAGTAATTGAATTCTTCCTAAAAGAACTGACGAAAGTATTCAAGTGTAACCATTCTACAAAATCAAAGGCTAAATATACATAGAATCCATTGATTGTCCATACATATTTGATTGAAACTTAAGAGATAATTAACATACGTTTGGATAGATTAGGTCATGATCACATTTCATTTGTAGATGAACGAATACAGAGATTCATCTTCATTGACAGGTTTCAAAGGAACATGATGACAAGTCTGTACATATATGTTCATCGGAAAATCATTTCTGTATACATCACATTCATCTGGATATTCACTCATTATACGATCATTCTTAGCTTCTACTCTTTCAAATTAAGAGATCGTTAAAACGATATGTATTAAGCGTATTCACTTCTCATCTTTAACAAATAATGTGGTCAAAGTCACTTGATCGACTGATATACCAATGTGTTACATAACTAAATAAATTCTAAAACTCGGATTTTAAACAAACAAACAAACGGCAGCTCATTTCATTTGCTCCTAGAGCCGATTGCATCAGCTGAAATTTAGAAAATATTCCACCAATTTGAATACCACTCCAACTATTGGATCTGATTAGAAACTAGATGATTTATTGTTTCAATATGAAAACTAAGAAAACTAGGCATCTGACATTCATGCTTATTTCATTTGCACGACATTCACGAGATTATTTTCATTACGAATTCAACTACAGAAAACATTTGAGATAACACAGTAAATATCTGCTAAAATCTGATCCCCATGTGTGTGTAGGCACATACAGTGTCACATCTAGCAATGACATGCTCGACACTAATCCTTGAAATGTTAAATATCGATAGTTTTATCTTTTGCAGGTGATACAATCAAGGTGATGTACGTGATAAACTCGAATGGGAAGATATATTTCTATTATGAGAACGTAAGTTGCGTAAATGCATGGATTATTCTATTATTTCATGCATATCAGCACTGTCAAATACATCGAAATATATGGATAAGGATAAAAGGACACCAACATAATGAACAACAATGAAGTGGTGTAATATGTAAACGATTTCTGATACCTTCGAGCCAATTAACGACAAAGAGTGTGTGTCAGAGTTCTCTACGTAAACGGTCATTTTCAGCATTATACAGACCAGTTGTTGGAAAGTTCATAATTGAATATTTTGAGAGAGATGTTGTTAAAATCTTGATCGCTCCTCAGATTGTATTTGCTCGAATGTCACTATTTAGAATTTTATCGATTTGGAATACAATAAATACTGGACGACTAGAAATGGCTGGTGAGATGATGAATTGTATGAGTGTTGAACTCAATCCATGTTGTTTGTTTCGAGGTAATCAGAACAAATTGTGGAATGAATTCTGTTGAGAAATGAACAGCAATAGATATTAGTAGGCACATAAACACAATTCCACAACAGGACAACAAATTCACGTTCAGCGACATTGCAGTTATTCACAATCACAATTCTACCAACGGACGTAGATCTTCATCTTACTATGTATAGCCTCATTCTGTGATAAATAGATCGTTCATCTAACTTCACTGAAGTTGTCAACATAATTAAGGCCGAATATCTTTGTGAATTAGATGGAGTATATTTCTTACGGGACCGAGGAGATCAGTATGCTTACTGTAAGTGTGATTAGTTGTCTTTGAATAAGATAATGCAAATGACGACACATTGCTTCAATGTTTGGTTGGTTTTGATATACGTGGTTGTGTATTGACAGATCTTGACTCAGACTTCCATTCCTCCTTTTCAGATTCCTATAGGACTTGAGAAAGGAGATGTTTCATCGACCTTTGGTTATTATATCCAGTGTGGAAAAGGTAACAAACGTTATTTACATTCTAATTTACATTGACTTACATGAGTAGTCATCTGTGAGCATGATGTTACCTTCTGTTTGTACACGATCATCACTATGTCAACGTGCAGATTTTCTGTAATTCATAATGCTGACCGAATTTGTGTTTCTTACAGTCTACAATATTCAGTTGTTTTTGTTCGTACAATAAATTGATGGAAATGTGGTTGAAGTGCTGAGGAAAATTGTGTGAAATAGAATTTGAATAATTTAGGCAAACTCACTGTCCTGATGTTACTGTGCATTGAAAATTCAACGTCAATTTGGTGTTTAGAAATCTTGAAGCAACATTCAAGTGTCACATGTAATAAAAATTCATAATGGAAACTCATCCTGAAAATATTTCTTATCTTAAGAATTGATACCAAAGTATCTGTATCCTCAATTCAACAACCGTCATCCTCGTTGATATTGCGAAGCAGATTTGAGTTGTCGTGATTCAATCGGAATCGTATTGTTTTATCATTTTGCGCTAAGCTCCATCAAAAAGAATTTCAAGATCCACGTCAGCTGACGCTTGCCTAATTTAGTATACCGAGTAATATAACTAAGATGTGTAAATGTCTTCATCACGAATTTGCAGATAGATATTTGGAGAAGTCTTCTGTATAGTTTTAACTATCCAGACAGGAATATATGAACGAGGATAGTAGACAGACGATATATCTACTCATTTATTCACTCACCCACTAATAAACAGTCAAACTTGCAGCCTCTCAATATTGACTATTTCTGAAACAGATTGTGACGAGATAAACATATTTTTTGTGTAGATGTTGCACCGATACCTTAGTAAAACAAATCAGCAATTTTATCGATATCATTTTTCATTTAGTGGTTGAACATCGGTCACTTTCAGAACCTTAAGTGATGTAGAGCATATTTCATAAGGATGTTACTTGACCACCATTTTATCTATAATCAGATATTAAACAGTTTCTTATTTTGATCTCCTCTTAAACGAACAAACAACATGTTATATCCAAAATGGAAATCAGAATTTTAACTGTCTTCCTCTGTACAATTAATCACAGGAGATTTCCGAGGGCCTACAATGCGTATTCCTGATGAATGGATCGAAAGTGGGACGCTAGTGGAATATGAAGTTCTCGGTGGTATGTCAAACCTTATTTTATCAGAGTTGACTATTTTCGCACTTGAATCAATCAACTTTGTTTCATAAAATTGGAAATTTCATGTATGATTTCAGACAGCTATTAAATGATATCAAGCCATCAGTCACAACTGACGTTACACCAAACAACGACTCACTGTTGAATATTTAAAATGATTCTAGACACATTTTGAACTACAACAGAAGTCTTCAGTTTGATGAAATTTACTTGAACAAAATGTCGCAAGACGATGGATGAGGTGATATCAGTCTGTTAGTTGGTTGTGCATTGAGTGGGAAGTGTCATTTGATTTTCATTTGGTACATGCAATATCGAACTTCGCCGAGAAATTGACATTGGGGAAACACTTCATGAAACTGTAACTGCCTTGGAAACAATAGCTTGATTTCCAAAATCACGTGTTCAAATTTCAATTTATCATAGTCAGTAAATATTTGTACAGTATCGAAAACACTGAGGGTTTTCACAGTATGGAAGTGTTTCCTTTCTCTTGAATACGTACAGTGAATAATCACAAACATTGTTATGTTCATCATGTGTTAGACTATTGAAATAACATTCCGACAACTGGGAGAATCATTCCACAATCTGATGTCCAGATCAACTTCAATATTTATTGAATAAAAAATTGTTGATTGTCGCTGATTTTTCATAATCCAACTAGTCTGTTGTGCCTACTGATTGCACACAGACTAGAATGTAGCCACGTAGTTTGAATCTTTTTATCATTGTAGGTTGACGGAAATCTCTTCAAGGAAATTCTCGACAATTAATTGAGAACCAATGTCACGCTCCCTTTGTTGTTCGATTGAATTAACATAATGGAATGTAAATTTTCTCCCTGAGAACAACTGACGTTCGTGCATCGGCTTCTAAATAGTCAGTTAGAGTGAAATAACAATGTCATACTGCATTTTGCATATGTAAAAATGGTATACACGAGATATTTTCGAATCATAAAGCAGAAACGAGATTCGTTAACCGCCTAGCGTGTACATTTGTTTTCTAATATTAATAGTCATTGACATCCGTGACATTCGCCTGACAAATTTCATCGTTCAACATGCAATGCATTTTTATTCAGTTCCAACATGTTTTCGGGAAATGTGAATGACATTGAAGGTGTATTGAATTTCGGATTGAGCAATGTGATGACAAGTGCCCGGAGAATGAAATACTCATTTAACTCCGAAATCGCCATCATTCGGTTACAGTTACATGTTTTGTAATTCACTTATCTTTTGTTTGATAACTTGAAATGCAACCACCTTCTTCTTTTCACTAAAGATTGTCCAAATCACAATTCGTTTGAAGCATGTCGAGGCGGAGCAACATCGAATCCAAAGTGTATTTGGTGTGAAATAGCCAATACATGCATCACTAGAAGTGATAAGGATAATCGTGACTTTAAAGAAAATGGTTGTCGGAATAAAGTAAGCAATTGGTAGACTTCGAAGATTGTTCTTAGTATTACGATATTCCAAATTGCAATCTATTTTTTCGGAAGAACATTTGTATAGTTACGAATTAGTAGTGATTTCTATTGTACCCTAAGTGTGTAAATCAAAGTAACTTATACGATATTTAAGCACATACGAATGCAATGTTCCATTTCCATGTGGACATTCAACAATGAATAGAAGAGCTGGTTAACACCAATGCCTAGAAAGATGTTAATTCTTTAGCTCATAGAATGTGTAGTGATTCGCGATGTTCTATTTGAAACCGTATATCTACGTGAACTGTTGAAGAATACAGATGAAATCATTTTGAATGATGAATCGTAATCTGTTGAAAATTGTGTAGCATGTTCCGATAATGAGTAAAAGTTCGTAGTCCCATTGTTGAAGTACAGAACAAGTATTTCTGATTCCTTGTTGAGAAATGTGTACCCTGAATGAATTGCTTCAATAAAGCCGTCAGTCATAAGTTTGTTGAATAGTGTATAGATTGTGATAAGATGTGACATCCAGGAAACAAATTTCATCACCAAAACAAAAGTCGTCAGTTAGTTTTTGGATAGTGTGGACTTATCACATTGACTGTTAAATCAGTATCAGATATTCTAAATCATTATTCACTGATCACATTGTGCAAGTGTAAATTATGTAACCAAATGTTGAATTCACTTGTGTCATCAATACTGACAATGGTGTATAATGAATGATGAAATATTTGATATTTAATTATATTTCCACTGTTTCTTTCTTCTGAAGAGTTCGATTGTCGAGGTTTCCAGCGAACCGACAACTGTAGCAACTACTGAAACTGATCTAATAAATGAATTGAAGGAGACCAGTGGAAGCACTGAATCACATTTGGTAAATATTTGATATTTTCTAATCATTATACTATTTCGTTCATTTCAGAACATGACCACAGATACAACAATAGACATAGAGAAAAGAAAATCACCGCAATACGTGTACATCGTTGTACCATTAGTTATATCTTTCCTTATTGTATGCATTGGTTGTGGTATTTGGCTGTGGTTCTACAGAAGGAAGAGAGTTTATGCATAGTCCCAACAAACAGCTTGTCACTTGTTTTCATCAAGTTGACTTTGTTTTGTTCATTTTTTAGTTTAGTAAACACACGTTCTATTTTGTTAATCATTTCAATACATTGAAGATTGTTTCATGGAACTGCATATCACATTGATGATTGTTTACGTAATGACTGATGTCACTTTGTTGGTAGAATATAAAAATATAATTTTTTGTATTTATGTCATTGTTTTCATTCAATAAAAAAAACATGGGTAATTTCACACGAGGTTACAACATTGCACTTCTCAATTAACAGTATCTTGTATACGTGATTATGTGACCATTGAAATTAAAAATGAGTCTCGTACAAACTCTCTACGTTGATACTTCAGATATGTGATATGGACTATCACAAAAGTTTGAAATTGTGATCTGAATTGTCGATTTTCGGTATGCTTTGCCAGGATCGATGGGTTATCTACTACACCTGATAGAATCTGACTAATAAATAATGCTGATCCTTAGAGTTTCTAGACTGTGCCCCCAGTAAGTGTTTTATAATAAAGGGTTCCCCGTCATATCAGGGATGGAGTTTAGGGATGATCAACCACCAACAATACTGAAAAAAAGAGGTGAACTTTATTCAGCATTCATTGGAAAACTATATTTCATTTTATCTTGCTCTTGGTTTTACAAAATGCTTACGACTACTGAGAAACCTGCATGTTCCTCTATCTTTCATATCACTCCAGTTTATAATTGTCTATATCACTGAATTTAATTGGTCATTCACTTCTTCACAATCAACATGTAGATCATCATCGTCTTGTAATCTGCATCGATGATCATTGTTTACTCGAGCTGGGTGGGAATTATGTGAACTTCGCTTCTAAATCAAAGTCACACCTTCTTGTTAATCAGTATCGTGGACCAGTGTTTGGTGATATCTAGGCACTGTGGCTGTAGTGCGTGAGAACTCAGGTGTGAATGAACAATTTATTGTTAGATGCAGAATCACAGAGTGTCTTCATATAATATAAAAACCAAACATTCCACACTTCACTTGCATGTCTTCCGTCAGTTGATTCTTAATACTACTTCATTATTCAGTCATTCCAGATGAGTTCAACTGTGTTCAGTGTGAGACAGTTACCTAACAAAAACAATGGTAGGTGGTCGCGCAATGTCGTGAATTAGTTGAACTTAAACATGAACACCGTTGAATGCTACTCAGTGGCAAGAGACTAAACGTTCGCACAAGAATGAAGGTCTTAGATTCGATTTCTGCTTTCATGATTGTCGATAGGTACTGTTATGGGGTCTCGTAATACAACAAACAGGCTGCTGAGTGATTCCGGGTTTTTAATAAAGTTCACTTAATCTGCAAACGAGCACTAAGACTCGGTGACCAAAGACCAATAAGCTAGATATTCTGATGCGCCGCACCCCGGCTAACTAGAGGAAGAAGTCGAAGCTTGGAATGGGGAAGTACATTCTACAAACAGTCAGAAACGAGCGATAACAATAAACACAAATCAAAATATATATATACAGCACAAAACCGTCCTTGGGGAGAGTTACCGTATAGCATACTAAAAGACGCAACGGACCAATAGCATTTAAGATATTTCCCAAGTGGGAAATACCACATGAAGGTGACAAGAGCGCTTTTGGCGCGGAAACAAAGAAATACAAATTTTCTAAATAAAATTACAACATTAGGATCTTTGCCAAGTGAGTTCTGGAGATCTAACGTCCACAACATCTGTAATAAGAATGCTTTTTTATGGGGAAATCCATTTCAATTCTGTAGAAAAATGAAGAAAAATTTCAATATCAAATGATATGTCTAAACGAATCCAGCCACATATAGAATTCGATTGCTTCCATTAAACTATGATATCCAGCCTTAATTAATGTTCGATGAAAGCATACATCTGTTTAATAGTGAAATGTGTTCATCCAGAATATCGGCTAACAATGAGTTTATCCGTCACAGTGATTGGTATAAAAAGATACACAGAATGTGCTGTGGATTATTTAATCAGGATTATTCTCCACCGTCTCCTTCATCGATATACACAGGACGTGATAACTAGACTAGTTTTAAAGAATCGAATATATTAATGGACATTTCACAGTTTTATAAATCACGGACGTGAAACTGGATGATTTTCTGAGAAAACGACCACTACAATAATTTGAAATTAATTGGTGAATGGTTACAGTGTTTATTCATAGCTGGTGCAACACCATCTATGAATTGACAACCAGAACATTTGCTTTCACTTCATCTTCTTTTTACAAAAGTAGTAATAATTTGATTGAGGGCAGGTGATTATCGGCCAAATACACAACTTATTATTAGAAAACGATGTTGTTTTATTCTAACGTAGACTGATATTACACCCACAATACAGAATAGAGAATACCATATTATTTGATTATTTGAGATGGAATGAGGTGATCAATGATAAACAAAGTATAATCATAGCTGGATCTATAAACAAAAAAGAGGTCAACACAAATATGTTTGTTCATTAGACAAACACGTTGTTTACAATGAGATTGAAGAAGTAATCAATAATACTTTGAATATTTTATTGAATATGACAGAAATGACAGGACTTGATGTTGTGTTATATTCAATGTGATGAATGAGACAGAATTCTCAATCGTTTTGCAAATCTTATTCCTCAATGCATAAGATATACAGTTCAATGTCCGATTTCTAATTCCGAGTACAATACGTTCGTCCATTTTCATCTAGTTGTCACGCAATATAACTCAACCTTTATAAGGAAATATGGCTGGTGACTGTCAATGCAATCCATGATGCGCTTTTCTCCCTATTTCTGACTCATCAGTTGGATATACCTGCATCCTATAATTGATGTTCCCTCCGTGACTCGAATCCAGTATCGTTCGTTTCAAGCGGCATCATGTTATTCACTTAGTTTGATATGTGTCTTGAATAATCGAAATCTACACAGACTGAATTCTGTAATATTTTGCTGTTCACTCATCATTTAAAAGTCTGGTTCACTCAACAATATGTTGAATGATACTCCGATTCCTGGAAACTTGTATCATTCAAAGAGTATTGGTGTTATGCAGCTAATGTGATTTAGAATCTTAATTTTCTAATTTATTGTTATGGCTTAAATTGACGTTGTTATTGTCATTACAAATATCAGTAGCTTCAAACAGTGCATCAAAACACCATAGATCAACACATGGTCTAATGCATACGAATGCTCAGATTAACTCAACTATACTATTAAGATGTCGTGTTCATCTTCAGATTCAAAATGATCATTCAGAATAACAAGTGGAGTTGTGCAGCATACACGTCAGATGTTTCTTCATCATCATCTACCGCACCTGGAGCAGTTTGGTAAGCTATCAATCCAATATTTATTGCCAGATCAGTTGAAAATCATTGTTGACTAGGTGAAAGACGGTTTTGGTATTTTAACGAGTGGTGAATTCTGAGTTGAAATGTATATGTAACATTCACTAATTTGATTATCGTAAAGCTGTCCTTCCAGTCAATTGATTTGTAAAGATCACATTACAAATTCACTTGATAAGATGATATTCAACATTGCAAACTGTGATCAAATATTGAGATTATGAAGGGAAGATCTGTTACTCAGAAGGTTGATGTTGTCTCTTTTGCACCGGTTCTTCAAAGCCAATTAACATTCATTTTCTCCTTATATACGTTCATTTTCAAATTACATTTTAAGTAGTGTTCAATTCAGTATTATCAATTCTCTATTAGATACATGATTCAATCAGTTACGTTTTGTTTTTATTATAACAAATTCAATGTACTTGTTATAATGGTTGGTTTTCCACGTTTACACGTATGAGACGTTAATTTACCTTAGACAAATATCTACACCAGATTCCTTCCCCGTGTCTATTATTCTACAGAACTTCAACACAACTCGGATCATGAACATGTGATTAGCGTGATTAAAACGTAAATATATTTCCACACCAAAAACCCGACACAATCCAACAACAAGGAACAATGAATAATAATAAATAATGATAATGATAGGGGAATAAGTTACTCAGCTGACACTTGTCAGACTTTCTACTTGGCTTACTAAGCAAACAATCAATCATTATCATTCTCACCCACACATCAATACTTTAAATAATATTCATTCTTGATGAGTTCAAATAACACGTTCGAAACCTTACTTTAATAACTTATAATTTTGTTACGTTCGTCAACTTGAATGCTACTACTGATTCGTCTTACTCGGAACGAACGAAAAATCGAGGATTCAGAGACTCGATAGGCTATACTGATCCGTTGTCCCCGACTCAGCTAACTCGATCCAGAAGTCTCGGTAAAATGTAGAAAGTGTATTGTACAGACAAACAGAAGATAACAGGTGCATCAAGCACACAAATCAAGCGTATTTATACAAAATATATATAATCGATATTGCCATGGAAGTTTTTAAACATTTACTCGACGCCCGATTTCTGTCAAACTATTCGTTATAATATTGACGAATATTCGTATAAATTTGATCGATAAGTTCATCAGTCGACTATCTGCGTGGGTGGTAAGAAATGCACAAGCATACATCTGCATACAAGCTGCACAAAGATGAAATTACAAAATATGAGTTTTGGGGATCTAACGTCGCCGACAGATTTCGAATACCAAACTATCATAATTTTACGTTTGTATTGTGATGTGTGCAACTGATATCGAGAGATATAAGTAGTATATATCATCAGTCGAAAGCGAAATACCTGGTGGTAGAAGGTTAAGAATTACGAAGAAAAGGGAATGAGAATAGAGAATGATTGGTTGGGAAACGAAGGAAAATGATGTCTAAAACAACTAATTGAAACTATGCAAGTGAAGTATTTACTATATGGGTCTCAGATACTACTACTAAGGCGTTCTGTAATTGTGTATTCACATACATTTGATTGTCCCACTTGTGTTCTCATTCACTACAGTATTATTAGAAATTATTATCGATTACTTTCTTCATTAGAAATAGATGCATTTTGTACTTTGGTTCAATTATCGACTAACCTTTACTCTTGTTTGATTTATTCTTCTATTTTCCAGCTTTTTATTTGTCTTCACATATGCTACTTTACATGATCTCTTAGTATCTAAATTACATTCAGATTAGATCGGAATCATTAGAGTCTATATAATATATTTTTTAAAATAATAATTTTTGGCGAGACTCTAATTTCTGGACGAGCCAATCAGGAGCGCTTTAGGGTTTTCAATGTCACAGCGCCAATTTCAGTGCGTGATGCTCACATACAATCGGTTTACAGTGGATTTTATAGAAGACGTGATAATTGAGCGGATACAACAAATAGGATTACAAAGAAGTTCGTTTATTTGTATCTGAGGCAATCAAATGAATTCTGTACTGTGTACAGACTACCATAATGAAGTTGTCTTTCGATGTTGTTTATGTTGGAACAAGAAGTGTGAAAGAACAGGAACTTTCGCCGCTCGATCTCGATTGAAACTAAAGAAAATCATGATAATTGTTGCGAATTGGATAATTAAAGCGCCAGTAACACTAGCTGCAACATTTGCAGATGTTACTGAAGCTTTGGATGTTCAGTGGTATGAGTATTGTAGAGATATATATGCAAGAAAAACGACAAGCTTACGCGATTCTTTTGGAGGGAGTTGAGAGAATCGTTGAAATAGACGAAACAATAGTCAGGAAACGAAAACTTAACAGAAGACGTAATATTAAAATAGACTGGGTATGTAGCACTTCAATACATATTCCTCAGAGGTTTTTGGAATTTAAGACAGGTCATCTCAATAGGGACACTTCCAGCAGGTCAGGAACCGATAGGCAAGACAATAATACCAATTACACGGGAATATGTACAGCCAAGCACAACAATATATACAGAGGATTGGAGAACGTACAGACGCCTATATAGACTTGGTTATGTGCATCGTGTCGTTGTCCACAAGCGGCATTTTGTGGATCCAACAACCGGAGTGCACACAAACAATAATGAAGTTATGTGGTCGAGGCTGAAAGAGTTTTTACGATACTATTATGGCTCGAGAAGCCAACTATTATGGAGCCATATGGATAAGTTCCTCTACTGTATGCATTACGATTTCAGAACTTCTGAACCTCTTTCTAACCTTGAAAAGTTTATAAATCATATAAAAGAAGTGTATCCACTTTAATTCTTTGGCTTTGTTTAGTATATATTTTTACTCTATATTAACTGTTTTCTGATTGGCTAATAGTCTCGATACTATAATTTGCAGACGAACCAATCAGAAACGTCTGATGGATTTCAATGTCACGGCGCCAAATTCACCAGCTGATGCTTACATCCATAAATTATAGTTTTTGCCTAAATTCTTTTTAATCAATTGAAATATCGGAAATTTACATTGAAGCCAAAGAAATTTTTTTCTAAAAAATATTACACAAGGGTTCAATAGACAACTTTATATTGAACAATGATCATTGAAGTCAGATGAACAGAATAGAAAGATCAAAATAGAGTTTTAAGATTATTACTGAAAAGAAGATCAATTCATGAAAAGGAGCATATTTTAAATCATTTCATTATTATTATCATTATCATTATTATTCTTCTTCAGATCCTCCACTAATTTCAGATAGATTATCATTGATATCAACTCCATATGCTTGTAATTCTTCTTTATTTGGTTTAATATATTTACCATTAGAGAATGATTGAATTTTAACTTGTTTTAATGTTTTATTTAAACAATCCATAATATTTGTATGTGGCATATGAGTTTTTAAACCTAAATTATCATATGTTAATATAATGGATTTTTGATTAGACTGTTGTTTTGGTTGCTGTGGTTGCTGTGTTGTTGTGTTGTTGTTGTTGTTGTTCAATGAATAATTTTAATGGTTCTATACAACGTTGAATATATTCATGTGTACCACGTGGATCATGTAATTCATATGAATGTGGTGATTCCCAAAATCTCAATTGATTTTCTGTGATATTGATTTTATTTAATTTAATTTCATCTAATCACCATGTTATTGTATCTGGGGTAAACATTTCATTAAATGTTCGTTGAATTTTTTCTTTACGAATTAATTTCACTTTTTTTACTGTATTTGGATCAATGAAAACTTTAATTGCTTTCCATATACCATGAAAAAATGTACCATGATTAATTAATATAAATTTATATAAAGTTTCTGGATAACAATCAGCAAATGTTTGTACAAATTTCTTACCGATTTTCGGATTACAACAAGCAACAGTTAAACCTAATTGTGAATAAATGAGAAAAGACAAACAAACGAGAAATGAAACAATATTTTGTCAATATAATCAAAGAGGGATTGGGTGTAGTCTTGTGGAGATGATAGTTAGTTGAATAGTTGAATTCATGAGTGAATTGAAGTTAGATCGTTATGGAAATACTGGAAGTAGTGGACGGCTGTTTGGTTCTAGTATGAGATACCACAATGGCAGTGCGTATCCTGCATGTGGGACTAGAATCCAGGATATTTGTTCTTGCACACAAACCCTTAACCTAAAAACAATTGTTTGACGACGGACCACGGGTGAACTTGAGGAAGCTGTAGGAGACTCAGAGAAAGTCGAAGATATTCCATCCAATTATCTTTTGGAAGAATACTCTAGAATTCCTACGTGTAGCTTCCGATTTGGAAATGCTAGTGACCCCCTGTATGCGCATTGGTGGACTGTAATGATGATTTCGTTCTTACTAAAAGCTATAAATACCTGACAATTTTGTACCATAATTGACACTGTCTGGAATAATATTCCATTCATTAGTCACCTGTCTTCTCATTGCGACTTGGAAGGGTTCTGGCGTTCTAGTACTCACGTTATAAGCGGTATATCAACAACAACCTTCCAGATACAACACATTAAGATGGGTTCAGGTTTCGCGTGTAGGATTATGGATGCACATTGCTGAGGAGTCTTTTACTAGAATGAAATAGCTGTAGAGTGCTTCTAAGTTTTCAATAGTGGTCTACCTGTGATCGACTTATGAATTCAACTATTAAAATTATTAGCATCTCTACAAAATCTCCATTACGATTTTATTGATTCGCAAAATCACAAAATCATCTTCTGTCCCATACTAAAACGAAATGGAGATGACAACAAACGAAGCATTATTAACTCTTTGAAAATGTGATAACATTAAACGGAATACCCTAATTTATAAACTGATTGAACACACACTTGATAATCAGTTGATGACTACCACATCAAACTGATAAAAATTATATTGGAAGGGGATTTTGATGAGATTTTAGTAATTTTTAATAGTTGAATTCACTAGCCAAATGAAGCTAGAGAATCATGGAAAATCTGGAAGCACTGGACGGCTGTTTCGTTCTAGTATGCCATACCTCAGTGGCAGTGCACATCCAAGAGGTATTTCTTGGAGTTCTAGTGAGAAGCCATAACCAGTAGAATTCAACCGGGTTTGTTGTGAGATAGTAACTCAATGATGACAATAATGGACGGTGGCGAAATTCGTGGATTATTTGAAGTCAGAAACTAACACTGTTGGATGTCGACTCAATGATCTAGATGTTAAACGCTCGAGAGAGACCAACAGGTCCTGGGTTCGCATCTCACGAGGCGGGTTTTGAATGCACATTCCTGAGCAGTCCCATACTAGGACGACATGGCCGTCCCGTGCTTCCAAGTTTTCAATAGTGGTCTAGCTTCAATTGACTCATGAACTCAACTATTAAATTACCAATATAATTTGAAATGAGAAAATGAATGTGATTGTGTAATAAGCAAACATGATGCTTGTTGTTTTAGTGATTATGTATTTAATAGTAAGTGATCTCAGGAGGCAAGTTCCGACGTTTCAAAAAGAGAACGTGTAGAGTTCAGCTATATCGAATGTAATGTAACTGCTCATTGGTGTAGAAGAAGATGGTTACGCAATATGATAAGTCGATTGAAGTTAGAAATGTAGGCCGCTGTATGACAACTCAATGGTATAAACGTTCAGGATTTGCCATATGACCTAAAGATTCAGGTTTCATCTTAGGTGGGGGTAGGAAAAGTACACTTCTGAGAAGTACTGCACTTTGACAAAACAGTTGTCCAATAGCTTTTTAAACTATAAACTCGGGTCATTTAGATTCGAATTCGGCACGAGTATCAGTTCCTCCAACATTGTAGATATACCTTGTGCGTGAGCGTCAACTCGTACAAAATGTAGGTCAAATAAGGACTTCTGTCTACTTTTCGCTGAAAACCCACCATGGTCATAATATATTACACTGCTGAACTAATCCACCATGTAATAATACATTTTCAGTTTAGATATGAAATTCAAGAATCACTATCAGATGCATTTACCTAACAAATAACTTTGTAAAAAATGCCACTATTGAATGCTTAGGACATTTAAGTGTAAGAAGGAGAAAAATCTGTTGTGATATCATTAATTCGTGATGATATTGTGTTGAACGAGAACACAAATAGGGACAATAGAATGTGTTTGAATATGAAATTACAGAACATCTTAGTAACATCCGAGAACTATACAATAAAGACTTCATTTGCAAAATGTCAATCAATCGTCTCAGACATCATTGTTCCTTCGTTTACCAACCAATCATTCTCTATTCCCATTCATTTTTCTACTAACCTTCTGCCACCAGGCATTTAACTTTCGATTGATGATATATACTACTTATCTTCCTAGATATCAGTAGCACACATATGAATACTAAAGAAAACACTTGAAATATTTATTTATTTGTTTAAATAAAAATTGCACATATAAAACGTGAATCAATAAAGATTAGTTCTCCTGATGTTTGCTTAAAAGAAATTCTTAAGTAATTCTATGCTCTTCAGAGCATCTCATTGGATAGACTTTTGAGAGCTAGCTATATTTGGAACAACAGAAATATAGATAGAGAAGATGTTTTATCGTATGTGAGGAGCATCTTGAAGGATCATAACATTACGACATTTTCAACTGGTTATAACCTTGAAAATTTCTAGAGGTTTTCTGAAATAGATGGATAGTGTCTAACAGAATATAAATAACTTACTATTTAGGACTCGTCAGCTGAATACACTTACTTCCCTAGCATTGAACACAGTAACTTTCAATTCAAATGTTCGACGCGTTATCTACTTGGTCAATCGTCTAGATAGTCACTAACACATGTCACCAATAGGATGTTTATTGTGATTCTCATTACATTGAAGTTGTTTTAAAAAATCGTATTATCTTTAAGTAGTACATTATAATCTTACCTGTACAATCAATGATAAATACCAATGTATTCACTGAGGTTTGTATGCTTCGTTTTGCATGTTCAATAAGATAAACCATATGGCAAACAACATCGTCTGGATTATTTTTCAATGTTTGACATTGAGCAAAGCAAGCATACATCAATGGTCTACCTTCACGATCGAACCCAACTTGTCGCTGATTAAAATGAAAGCAAAGAGTAGAAAAGATAAAAATAAATAAAACGATCTAAGATATCAAAAGTTTAATAAGATGGTAATTTTATTTAGCAGTATAGGGTTTTGGACATTATTATTAGATTTTTGACTGACATCATGAATTGATTGATGTCAGACCATCAATGAACACCTGGAATAATTGGTCGGCCGTTTCGTCTTATTGTGGGATGCCGGCTCAGTGATCTAGAGGTTAAGCGTTCGCGAGCGGGATCGTGGATGTGAACTGCCAAGGAGTCCCGCAATAGTACGAAACGATCGTTGAATGTTTCCAGGTTTTCAATTATGGTCTAACACCAATCGATTCATGATCCCAATCAAAAACGTTTATTTAGACCCATTAGAGTATTAGAAAGACTAATTTATTCTGTTCCTTTTATTATTTGCTGATAAGTCAGTCTACAGTGAATTTTTTCCTTCCCATGGATTGCTCAGGACAGAGTTCGATGGAGAATACTGATGAGCGGTCTATGCTCCTCGACGAGTAGTAATAGGCATAAGTAAGTAAGTAAGTAAGTAAGTAAGTAAGTAAGTAAGTAAGTAAGTAAGTAAGTAAGTAAGTAAGTAAGTAAGTAAGTAAGTAAGTAAGTAAGTAAGTAAGTAAGTAAGTAAGTAAGTAAGTAAGTAAGTAAGTAAGTAAGTAAGTAAGTAAGTAAGTAAGTAAGTAAGTAAGAAAGTAAGTAAGTAATTAAGTAAGTAAGTAAGTAATTAAGTAAGTAAGTAAGTAATATTTCCTCATCCACCAATGTTGTTATCTGATTGGGTGTTCTCGTTTTCAGTTCAGTAATTCTGTTATATGTAGAGTTTATATTTATTACTATATGTAGGTTTTGTTTTGTTTGAGTTTTTGACTCCTCACTTTCTTCGATTATTAGATGTCCAGTCCATAGAGTTAGCCTACATCATGTTTCGTGTTAGAATAATATTCGAATGGTTTTTAATTTGGAATAAGCATAGGCTATCTCTCAATGGAATATAAAAATACTCTGTTTGGAGTTATTTGTCAACAACAACAACAACAACAACAACAGTAAACTTAATCAACTAATTTGATTATTGTATTACTAGATAGTAGGCAGTAGTAATGTCCTATTTGTAACTTATTCCAGTTAGATGTACTTGCTTGCTTCTAATGTTAATGTTCACATTGAGGTTTTAACTCAATACATATCACTTCAAAAGAATAAGAATAAGGAGTAAGTCACTCAGCTAACGAATTCAGAAATCAATCAACTCGTTGACATATTGAGCAGAATCATTAACGTAGATTTAAATAAAGATCTTATCTGCTTTATATGAACACTGGTCATGGTGTTCATCATCATAATAATAATCCAGCACAATCAGACTTCCGAGAATGTTGTAAAGTACATAAACAAACAACACAATAATAACTCACAACTGAATGAAATCCTGGTGTTTCATGACACCATTTACATTGAATTGTCAATGGTTGATATTCTCGACGCCATTCTACAGCTGTTTTCAATTGTTTAAAAGCATCTTCAACAACATAATTTCTTGCCACAAGAAATCGAGTTAATCTAATAATAAGTTGAGGAGAAAGAGAGTAAAAATAAATATCAGGTGTATAAAGTAGATTGTAGTTTTCTTGATTGAAGGAATTCAATGGTTCTCATTAGGTAATTGAATTGAGTAAAAAATGTTAGTCCGACAAGAAATTGATTATAACCTGTTATATGTAGATGCTTATATTCTTGATATACCACGTATAACTTGAGCACTTGAACGCTAGAACCCTTTCAAGTCGCAATGAGAAGACAGAAGACTAGTGAAAGGAATGTTATTCCAGACAGTGTTAAATTATAGTACGAAACTGTCATTATTATAGCTATCCAATCCGCATAAAGGGGGCTATTAGCATCGTCCAATCGGGAAGCTACACGTAGAGATACTAGAATATCCTTCCAAAAGATGATTGGATGGAATATCTTCGGCTCTTTCTGAGCTTCTTAAAGCTTTCTCGAGTTCACTCGTCGACCGTCCTCACATAACCCAAAGAGATTAGTGATGGTGTATGTGAGTGTAATGTTAGACGTTAAACGTCAAAATCTCTAGAGGAAGAATCTTCTAATCATGATACAACCGATGTTCAGATCATTTAACAGTAACTGTATTGAGATTTAATATTAGAAAATAATATAAATGTTCTAAATGATTATACAGTTGATCAGGAAAAACGAAGAAAATGCTACGGAGTGCGATTGTGTACATTGTTTGGGAATCCTTGTATATCCATTATGCTTGAAATGAAATACTTTGTATTGAATGAATAAGTACGGAACCAATAGGATGTATAACTGAATAATAACGCATTTTATTAATTACTTACTTGTGCCTGTCACCCCTCGTGCAAAAGCATAGCCCACCCACCAGTATTCTCCATCTAACACTGTCCCACGCAATCCTTTCCAGCTCCTTCCAATCAATATTCATCCTTTTCATATCTACTTCTATTTCCCTATGTAATGTGTTCTTTGGCCTTCCTCTTTTCCGCTTCCCTTCAGGATTCCAAGTTAGGACTTGCCTCGTGATGCAGTTTGATGATTTGCTTATTGTACGTCCGGTCCATTTCCATCGTCTTTTCCTGATTTCTTCTTTAGCTGGAAGCTGGTTTGTTCTCTCCCATAGAAAGCAGTTGCTGATGGTATCCAGCCAATGGATGTTGAGTAACTTGCGTAGACAACCATTTATGAATACTTGTACTTTCTTGATGGTGGTTGTTGTAGTTCTCCACGTATCAGCTCCATACAGTAGAGCTGTCTTGACGTTCGTACTGAAGATTGTGACTTTGATACTGGTTAACATTTGGTTTAAGTTCCACAGGTCCTTCAATTATAGGAATTTGCCAATCCTCTCTTTTACTTCTGATTCAGATCATCCACTTTCATCGATGATGCTTCTCAGGTACGTGAAAGGTTCCACATCTTCCAGATCTTCTCCATCAAGTGAGATTGAGTTGATGTTCTCCGTTTGTATTTGAGGATGTCACTTTCTTCTTTGTGTATGTTGAAGTTTACTGCTGCTACACTGGCTGTCTTCATCTGCATTTGTTCGTGTGCATGAGATAGAAAAGCTAAGTCATCTAAGGAGTCCAAATATTCTGGTTGATTCCGAGCTGTTCACCGGATTCCGTGCTTCCCCTCAGGTGTGGAGGTATAGTAAATTGAATTGGATTATTATTAAGATTTTAAGACGTTTCAAGGGATTATTTTATTTGTAGTTGATATCAGTAAATACTTGACTGTTCCCATTGATGTTAGGACTGCAATTGATCCGTCACTTATTGGCATATGTGCATACTGCATGTATTGCCTCGATATCACCTTAATTTACAAGCATTCTAAGCAAAGATGAATAGTGGCTACCATTGGAATCTATCAATGAGAAGATTCAAGTCAGCAATACCAAGTGAATATAGATGAACAACAAACACTTACGTATCATCACATGTTGCAAAATCCGGTTCATTCGGTAAAGGAATAATATTCGATTGAGCCAATTGATAAAGTTCTGTTTTAAGATTCATTATTTGTTCTGGTGTCAATTCAGATTTAGACGATTTTCGTGAAGATGATGTTTTTGACGAATTCTTTTTGTTCATTGTTTTATGATTGAATGATGATTGTATTCCTCTACAAATTTAATTCACAGATTTAATGTGTAGAGATGGAATGTGAAGTGTAGTTTATATCTGTAATAGAACATAAAAAATTGAATTTAATGTGTCCATAGTTTTTATTGGAGTTACTTTCCATCTTCAAGAAACAAATGAGGGATGGAAATATTGATTGATTTCAAAAGATTGGCTTGCATATCTTACGTAATACAAGAGAATTATTTGTTGAGGAGAGGCAGAAAACTCTTCGAATAAAGCTAAGAAAGGTTCTGAAAACATTGAGAAGCATCTTATCCAATCAGCATTCACCAGAAAGGTGTGCCAGAAACATCAAGTAAGTATTGTCACATGTAGAGTTTCTGATTGATTGATTACTTATACTGCTACTACGTTCATTAGCATTCTAGAATTTCCCGGAAACCCAAGGACATCTAAAATACTATAGCCCTATATATTCTGTACATACACGAATATTTGGAGTAAAGTGTTTCTTGCAGATTTCGCGCCTTTTCTCTTGTGCTCAAATAACTGTGTAGTTCTAGCCTATGGGTTACTGGAAGAACTTGAGAAATAAATCTAGCGTTCCATTACCAAAACTTATCATTATTGTTATTCCATTGGAAACTATTCACTACAGCAGATCCAACCGAAGTAGACAATGTCTCATTTATATTTTATATTTCAAGTTCATTCTACTTGTGAGTAGTACAATTCTTTTCACTAAATATTATCGAATCGTATGGGATTTCATAAATTTATCGTGTGATGTGAATCAAATTCTTCTCCTAAACAACATTATCTGCATATCACAAGTATCATAATAGTTTAATCATTCTTGCATAAGTTTAGAATCTTAAAATCATCATGTGCTATTGAGTGAAAAAATATATGTAATTTTAAGATATCTAAATATACGTTGAATTTGATCTTATTAGACAGTTGGTGGAAATTATCCTCAGGAATATCGAATCTGAATATACAATCGACTGGAGAATTACCTGCATTAAGTTTTTAATATACGGAAACTTCCTCCAGGCTGTATGTACACAAGTTAGTTTCATATCGGTGGTCTTGAATGACATCACGATCTCTCAGTTCACTCTCAATTGATCATGTACAGTTTATCAGATTAACACTTTGTTGAATACTCTGTTTATAAGATGAAGTATTAGTTCTAAGTTTGATAGAAAAGTAATTGGTAACCATATTTTAAAATATACTTCTATGAAGCAATAATAACCATATTTCTAGGTTATCTTTTCGCCGTATATCCTTCTATTGATACCCATTTCCCCCCTCCGGCACATTTCATGTATTTTTGATGATGAAATATTAAGGTGACAAAAATATCATTTCAGCATTATTTCCGGTTCCAGAAATGATCAATAATATTTCTTTGTAGCATAGTTACAATTTTTTCGCAAATAACGGAAGTAATTAGAACAAAAAATGTTGGTAATGGGATATTTCATTTTCGTTTTTGTATCTTTATTTCAATGACCATTATGATCGAGATTAATCTCATACCCTGGTAAGTCAATTGTTTGAATAACAATTCAGTCTGTACTGGTATTTCATCATGAAAATGAATTTCTTCAAGAGTAAGTGAACTGTATTTATATCAGTCAAGTTTGGATTAAAAATGGTAATTCACTGATGCTAATATATAGACTGGCAAATCCTCACATGAAATTCTCAAGGCCAAACGAGAAGAGAAAGACCAAGGAACACAGTACGCCGAAAAATGGAGAGAGGCATGAGAAAATTGACCAAAAACTGGATAGAACTAGAAAGGAAGGCCCAAGACAGAGTGGGTTGTAGAATGCTGGTCGGGGTCCTATACTCCATCGGGAGTAACAAGCGTAGGTGAGTAAGTCAGTAGGTAAGTAAGTAAGTAAGTAAGTAAATACGTAATTAAGTAAGTAAGTAAGTAAGTAATATATAGACTGGAATTCGAATATGTGTACTAGTATATTCTAATTCAATAATGTGGAAGAATTGTGGTTACTTGAAGCCCCTTGAAGTAGAAATCAATCGTGGATTGATTTAAGTTAAATAAGTTTCCATGGTCGGATCCCTGCTCTGCGTTTCAAAGTTTAGGCTTTTGAGCGAGAGACTGAAGGTCCTGGGATCATTCTTTGCATGAGGAGTCGTGGATACACATTGGTGCACTTCTAAGGAGTTCCATACTTAGATGAGATGGCTATTCAGTGCTTCTATGTTTTCAATGGTGGTCTAACATAGATTGGTTCATGATTTCAATAAAATTCAATAATCTTTACAATCCTATACTGACTATTAATGAATCTCTTTATAGACATTGAAGAAAAGATAATAGAATATTAAGAAATAACTGTTTCTAAACTGCTAAACTAGTGTTACAAACAGTGTTGTGAAAGTACTTTACTACTTCAAACATAACGAAGATACATTGTATTCAAACCGGCAGTGCTTATTCTTAATTCGTCTACCAGCATGTACAATAGTTATTACCTCATGATATAAAATTTAACTGGATTTTTTTCAAAAGTCACACATTTGATTTTTTTTCTTGAATAAATAATACATAACCGTTGGAAATCTGGTAGCGCCATGTAGCTATCTTGTTGTAGTGTGAGACTCCATAGCATTGTGCATCCATGAGCCTACATCCAAGAATACAACCCAGGACCATCAGTTTCATGCATGAACGTTTATTCTTTAGATCATTGAGATGGTTTCCAACAGCGTTGATGTCCAACTGTAATTAATTCGCAGTATTGCGTGACCATTCTCCACTACATATGATAGTTGAACTCCATCAACCAACGCTTCTCAATAGGAGTTCAGGAATGATATCTTAGAGCTTTCCCTTAGTGAGTTCGGTAATCTGGAGGTTAATCGTTCACGGGTTCTGAATTCGAATCCCGACTAGAGGGTGATGGATATGCATTGATAAAGAGTCCCATACTAGTACGAAACAGCTGTCCAGTGCTTCTAGTTCTCCAATAGTGATCAAGTTAAGGTCAGTTAGTGATTTATAACTACGAAAATTCGACAAGTTCCACAATTCACTCTATACTACAAAAAAACCATAATAATTTCTGTTCTTCATTTATCGATTCAAATGATTACAGGAAATGATAATAAATTTTAAATGATCATAGACTATTTATTAATTAGTCTAGCACTTTCATATTAGATATTAGCTGAACAGGAATCTATTTCTTAATCGATGATATAAAATTTTTTGAAAAGAAATCTAACTCTTGAATTTTTGCGTCACCCACTGTTGACTGAATTCAAGATGAATGATAAGCCGTGACCAGTGAAGTCTGACCGTGTCGTGTGTGAGAAAGTTATCCACATCAGACAATAAATGAAGGGCTGTGCATGAGCATGGATCAATTGAAGTTAGACATTAACATAGTGGGTGCTTGGTTATTGATTTAAATTTGATCGTTCGCACGCGAGATCGAAGGTCCAGTGTTCGAGTCCCACCTGAGGGATCTTGGGTGCGCACTACTGAGGAGTCTCATATTAGGACGAAACAGCCGTCTAGTACTTCTAGGTTTTCAATGATGGTATAACTCGGATCAACTCATGAATTCAGCTGTTAAAATTACCACAATCTTCACAGATTCCCATTATGAAATGAATTTAGTTCTCAAAAATTATTTGAACTATAATGTCTACACTAAAACCAATAAGTTAGACAATATATGTTAACTAATATTCTGAATATTAAAAGTTACAAATTAGAAATCAGTATGATCACTTGAACTGATTACTCGATTCATAGCCGTAAGAGAGAATTTTATATAGTCAACTGATAGGTTTGAATACAGACAGAGTTTGAAAGTCGTTAGTATTTAATTGATTCATTTATTGTTAGTAGATTTATAAGTCTACATTGATTAGATCTTTATCTGACCTCAGTCAGATCGGACGATAATGTTGTTGACAAGTTCATCACTTTAGTGTGTCCCAGTATTTGACTTCAATTACATCATTTGTTGATTGTTATCGAAATATGCATCACAGCTACTATGGTAGATAATCGTCGACTTAAATCGCGTTAGTGAATAACGAAAATAAATAATTCAAATATGAGAATGAATTCTGAATGCGTATATTTCATACAATCGTTGATTCAGACAAATGATCAGAAAAACGAAACGAAACGAAACGAAACGACGTGCAGTGGGGAAGGAGAGTGAGCCAACTCCATTTAACCAAGCGTTATTCAATAATATGGTCAGAACAGAATAAATTACAGACATTTGGTGTGAATAGGGTAATATTAATTAACACACATACGATCATATAAAAACATTCAGGGTTGATAAGAGAATAATTGACAAGGTCAAAATCCAACTTTAGGAGAAGAATGAATAAACTGGTTATTAATCGTCAGTGTGAAACAGTTCCCGCAAAATTATAGGTATACCTTGCTGACGAGTGCCAAGCAACACAAACATTGGGTCTAGTGTTTTCTGTTGAATACCTCCACCATCAACCACCAACTTATTACATTAGTGATTTAAGCAATATAATCACTATCTTATTTACATTAAATGTATTCATGTTGATTGAGTTCCAGTAGTCAAAAGGAAATGTTTACATAGATGTATAGAAATAGAAAAGTATCCACAAGTGGTGTTCATAAAATAAACGTATGATCATTGATTAGTTTGATTTAAAATTTAATCAACAATTTCTTAAAAGTACATCTGATTTCCTTTCCTTTTGTTTCCATGCAAAATAAATGAAAGTAGTTTCATACTGTTTACAGGTGATTGACTAATCATTATCATTTAATAGGTTACATCATTGATTGATATTGGTTAGATAATTATTAGTAACTAAGACTACTTGGTAGCTGTTTAATCTTAGTATGGAACTCTGTCGAAATGAGCATCCATAATCTAACCAAAGAGAATTGTACCCAACACATTCAAGGAAAGTGTGTAACCAGTTCATAGAGTTACGAACCATCTGTTTATATTTATAAATTAAACTAATATGTGATATTTATCAAGTATTATACACTGCCATTTGTAGTTGGACTTTGTTGGTGATAGTTTCTCATTAAA